TAGCCAGGTTAAAGTGCCCCAGATGTTATCTCCCTTATGCTTCTATGCTCAGACCAGCAACCTATTACTCATCTAAGCAACCATCATCAAACTAAAATACACCATCCTGCTGCTGGATCTGATTACTTTGAATGCTTCTTCTGTTTGTGTGTGGTGGGCATCAGCACCCTGCAGGATATCTCTTCTGGGACAAGAGCAGACATTGGAGCATGATTATCATGTGTTCCTCTGAACATCATTCTGCTCTCGAGGACAGGCCATTTTTTTCAGCATCACCAGCTCTAGCGGCCCGGCCAGCTACTCTTCATCTCACACTTTAAAGCACACAGGTGCACAGGTGCAGTCAAGTGTGATTTCATGCATTTTTTTGGATGATCAGAAGTCAGGAAGGGAAGAATGAGATAATGCTTTTGTTTACAACCCTGGAACAAGTTTGTGTTTGTCTCTCTCATGCTTGGATGTTAGATGAGTGTCAGAACGGGCAAAGTACCTATTTATTCCCTCTGCAAAAAATGGTGTCATATCCAATTGCGAATGACAGATCAGTGGCTTCCTTACTTGACAAGGAGCCAAGGCCAACACACTTTCCATTATTCATGAGTACCAAGGATGTGTCGATGCTACACATCTTTGGCACAGCACAAACACTGAAGCAGCAACATAATGGTCATGCAGATGAAGTAGTGTTGCATCATAAAAAGCAGTGTTATAGCAGCACCTAGTGCCCATTTTATGAAGACTTGGTGATCTGAAGGCAGGAAAACAGCCCAACATTATTATTTTTTATTGCACAAGAATCCCTGTTCCTCTAAATATATTGTTTTGTTCTCTAAAAAGCATGGTACATTGGCCATTAAAGGTGATCCTGATTACATTTGACCATAAAACCTAGACTTCAACACTAATTAAAATCCACAAAGTACAGATTTCTGAACACTGCCTGCATTTTACATTTTTGTTTTGTTTGTTGTTTATTTTTTAGAATAAGATTTTATTTGGAATAGGCCTAAATTGGGTACATATTGGCATCACCTGTTTTGTTATGAAGTAGCTGAGCTTTGTCATGTTTTTTTTAGCCGTGCCTGGTCCCTACCTGACTTGTTGAATCAAGAAATAATTTTTATGACAAGATGAAGAAGGCTAAAAGATTTCAAACAGCACCTCCTCATGGATTTAAAGGACTAATCATACTGTATATCATTGGGTAACATCAGCAGACCACTGAGAGAGCCAATATAAAAAATTTGACAAAGAACATTAATGGATCTAAACTTTTCAATTAAATTAGTATAAGAGTGCATCAACAAGACATCCAGGAGGCCACAAAAGAACCCAGAACAGCATACGAAGCTCTGCAGGCCTCACCAGCATCAGTGAAGGTCAGTAGTGTACATTATTCAACAATTCAATAAAAAAGCCTCTATTGGGGGGTTCAATGTCCAGAACTACGACTAAAAACAACTCAAACAACATCACATCTGCCAGAAAAAAAAATGATGACTGATGATTTTAAAAACTGATTAACCTCAAAAATTTTAGGGAAAAATAGACTGAAAAGAGATGTTGAGCTTTTTAAAGGGTGTTTGACCTGTTACAGTTGGTTCACTGAGTGTATGAGGCACGATTGTGAGAGAAAGCACATCAGAAAATTAATCTCTGGATTTTCTAACAAAAACAAAGTACCCAATCAAAGGCTGTCTTCGTGCAGTTATGACCCCTGGTTGGTTTTGGCACATGGTTGGTAACTGGCTCTGCTGATGCTTGGATGAAACTTTTAAATATGACAAATCAAAAATAGATTAAATCTGCAGAGGGTACACCACAACATAATGGGAAACAAAAATGTGGGTTTTTCACAACCTTTTTAATTTAATTATTCAGTATTTTGACTTGTGACTTACATTAACCAGAGCTAGTTTATCCTATACTGAATACTGACCCAATTTAAACACCTGCTAATTTACCCCTGAATATAGAAAATAAGCACTTTCCCTGTATTGTGATATGTAGAGGTCTGCCGTAAAGGGAAGGCTTCTCTACAGACCTATGTGTAGTCTTGACCACCCTCTGTAGAGCCATCCTCTATGCAGCAGTGCAGCTGCAGTGCCACACTGGGATGGAGGTGCTAAGAGCATTTTCTTAGACTTAGACATATTTTATTTCGTCATTTTGTACACACAAGTGTAAACAAAAGGAATTTCATTAAATACAGCTCTCTAGACTATTTCATTTTTTAAAGTGCAGGTAAGCAGCAATGAAAACATTGTGATGAAAAAAAAAATTATGTTAACATATGACTGTATAGTTACCGTTCCAACATTTCATTACCACACAGCCATAAAGGTTCCTCAGGACAGGACCAAACTCCTGATTCCAGCTCTCCAAAGGTTCCTGAGGAGGTAGAGACACTGGTGGACTTTCCCAACCAGACAGGACATGTTGAATCTCTCGGTGAGGTCAGTGGATAAATGCACAATCAGGTACCTGTTGAAGACCACCTCCACAGCTGCTCCTCTAAAACATACGGGATACAGAGGTTAATATCTCACTTCAGCATTCAGGCAGAGTTTCTGGTCAGGAGAACAGTGGTGGTGGTAGTGGTGGTAGTGTTGGAAGGTAGGCTGAGAAGAGAGGAGATGTATTACCCCAGGTCTACCTCTCCAACATATGTAACCACCTGTCTAAACAGCTGCCATGGCATGTGTTGAAAAAAGTCTTGTAGCTCGGCAACCACATCCCTGGACAACACAGTGACTATTTTCTTAGTTGGCCTAATCCATCTCATTATTTGTTGATATGCTGGTACTATCATAATATAAATGTGCTCAGAGATACCATAATGTGTTAGAGAACGAACTGTACTGTATGCACAGTGCATCTTAGTGTACAAGCAGTCCTGATTGAGAAAGGTGAAATACTGGTAGAAACTGGGCTGAGTGTCTGTCAGTTTCGTATGATCCAAGTCCCCGGCAACCACGTAAAAAGCCTCTGGATGCTTTATCTGCAGCAAACTAATAGTGTCACATAGCTTTGTTGATACTTTGTTAGCAGCAGCTCCTGGTGGGACGTAAACAATGGTGATGAAGACAGCAGTACATTTCCCGAGGCAGATGGTATTGTCAATATTTCACTGTCATATGTTCTATCGCCTCAGAGCAGAAGCTTTTTAACAGTCCACAGTTTATACACCAACCTATATTCACTTACATAACAGTCTCCCTCACCAAGTTTTCATCCCCACTGTGGTGTACAGGGGCAATGAAAAAAAAAAAAAGGGAAAACTTTCATTCTAAATTCTGATTCTTGTGATTGGCCAAAACATTGGAGTTATCTGATTGGTTTCAAATCATAGCTGGTTAAAAAATACAATGGTGCATCGATTCTCATGCAAATTCAGTTAAATTCAATGACCACTGACTTTATAACTCAAGACATAATTTTGTATTCGTCACAAATACTTTTGTGACTCCTGTCTTGTGAATGTAGTGATTGTACAGTATATGCTTGTTTGAATCATAATGGGCATGTCTGTGGATCTTGTACTGTGGATGTGTGGATTTTGCAGTAGGGGAAAATATTAATATAAAGAAAAATTATCAGTTACTTCCTTTGCAGTGAGACTACATCAGAGTAACTAAAGATAACTTGACCTACGCTAACTACTGTATAGACTTTTATCTTGTACTGTGGATGTGTGGATTCTGTCCCGTGGATGTGTGGATCTTGTCCTGTGGATATGTGGAACTTGTCCTGTGAACATGTGGATTTTGTCCTGTAGATGTTTGGATCTTTTCAGTGGATTATGGGATCCTGTTCTGTGGACAAGTGGATTTTGTTCTGTGGATGTGTGGATATTGTTCTGTGGATGTGTGAATCTTGCCCTATGGATGTGTGGATCTTGTCCTGTGTGTGTGTATTTTATTTTGTGGATGTGTGGATCCTTTCCTGTGGATGTGTTGATCTTGTCCTGTGGATGTGTGGATCCTGTTCTGTGCATGTGAGGATCTTGTCCTGTGGACATGTGGATTTTGTTCTGTGGATGTGTAGATCCTGTCCTGTGGATGTGTGGATCATTTCATGTTGATGTGTGGATCTTGTCCTGTGAATGTGTGGATCCTGTACTGTGGATGTGTGGATCCTGTCCTGTGGATGTGTGGATCTTGTCCTGTGAATGTATGGATTTTGTCCTGTTGATGTGTGGATCCTGTCCTGTGGATGTGTGCATCATTTCATGTGGATGTGTGGATCTTGTCCTGTGAATGTGTGGATTTTGTCCTGTGGATGTGTGGATCCTGTCCTGTGGTCAAGTCAATTTTGTTCTGTGGAATGTGGGGATCATGTCCTCTGAGCATTTGGATTTTGTCCTGTGGATGTTTAGATTTTGTCCTGTGGATGTGTGGATCATGTCCTGTGGATGTGTGAATTTTGCAGTAGGGGGAAATATTAACAAACAAAAAACTGGTCAGTTAGTTCCTTTGCAGTGAGTCTACATCAGAGTAACTAATGATAACCTAACCTAGCTAACTACTGTCTAAACTTTAACTAAATTAATAATTTAAGGCCCTTTAACCTAATTTCATATCTTAAGCACTAAGGTTGAGTGCTGGTTCAAAACGAAGAGAATGTTTTTATTTTTTTCAATTAGAGTTTAAACTCCCTCCTAGTTTCTTTTATTTTTCAGAAGTTAATCATATTTACCAAATCAACTTCTTTTAATTTACTTTTAAAATCAAGGGGTATGGCCGTTGTTAGTTGGCTATTTTTTAATTTTTTTTTTTTTTATTTTTTTTTGCATTTTTGTACTCAGTATTTTTTCTAGCAAGTAAATGACACAAAACAATGGAACAAATTGTATCCTTAAAGCGGAGCACTATATCGTTTAAACAAAACTGTTTAATCTAATTACTCAAAACTAAGTTGATTTTTGTGCTTCCGGAAGTCTTTGAACGCAACTCTCTCACTTGTTGCCACTGACGAACTCCTCCTCCTCCTCGTTTCTCTCCTCCTCCTCCTCCTCCCCGTGGCTGGGTGTCTTTCGGCTGTAGCTCAGCCTCTCACTGCCTCACCGAACAGGGAGTAAATATGGCTGCTAACCGGGTTATCGTGTACGGAGGAAAAGGTGCTCTGGGCTCAAAGTGTGTTCAGCATTTTAAATCTAAAGGATGGGTAAGTGACGAGAAGCTAATGCTAACTACATGCTAACATTCCGCTAAGACGAAAGCTAACTTGTTTTTTTTTTTCTTCTTCTTCTTTTTATTATTATCTTTATGTTGACTGTTTGGGCTACAGTGGGTGGCCAGCGTCGACATTGCTGCTAATGAGGAGGCAAATGAAAACGTGCTTGTAAAGTTGACTGAATCTTTCACCGAGCAGGCAGGACAGGTGAGCTTCAGGTGTAACAATTATTATTTTTTTTTTTTTTACATTAAGCTGTTACAACGTTATCATCCTGTGCCTACGATAAAGTGTAACAATAAAGTATATGCATGGGATCACATGCAGAGTTTATGCATGTTGTTGCATTATATCCGATTTCCATTGCTTTGAAATATTGTAACGCTGTTGCGTTCAAGTCCCAATCAAAATGAAGAATTTCTCAACTTCGGTTATTTAGTTAAGTTTCATTATCTGTTATAAACCGTCGTGCATTGCTTTAAAGGATACATAATAAAGGATACAAAAACAACTAACACTTCAATTATCATTTGTATTTTGCTATATATGTTTTTCTTTTTAAGCAGCTGGTTTTGTTATAGGTTTCTATATATATATATATATATATATATATATATATATATATATATATATATAAAATGAAAGTAAAACAAATGAATTCACCAGAGAAAACAATTATAGATCTTCCAAATGACACCCATCTAGTAGCTTAAATAAATAAAAGGCACTGTTTAATGAACTCAAACATTGTACTAGGGGTTTGCCTAAAATGATAAAAACATGAAAACATTTTAGTTTCTTTGAATGTTTTTACGAATAGTTTTGGATAATACAACCGATTGCATGGAATCATTAACCTCTAGCAGCCCCTCATACTGAGCAATGAGTGACAGTAGTGGAAAGGTTCAACTCAATTAGTTACGGTTCATCTAAACTCAGCTTAGTATGAATGGAAGATGTTACAAATTTGAGAGGACAGAGAAAAAAAACTAAGCAAGGTGTGGGTGCAGAGGTGTTTTCCTATGCTAAAGAAAAGGTGTACTCGTTTAATTGTAGTTCTTGGTACTTGGAAACATTTTTCAACTCTTCGGATGAGAAATTTTTCCAGGTAGGCAAAATTAATTTGTGGCAACCCTGATCTCAGTTTCTGTTGCACCAGCTCACCAGAATGGGCCAAAACTATAAAAATCTTCTGCCAAGCCTCCAGATGGGTTCGACCCAATTCTAATTTCAAGTAGGTTAAGTGTAAGTGTTGAGTATGAAGACTGTAAAACATACCTTTAACTGACAGAGCAAGCCACTTAGAGCAGTAATATATATATA